ATACATATATTATAAGTAACTGTGCAGGGTGATTACTAAATGAGAACAGATGAGATGATAATGATTGTAACAGCCGGACAATAAGTTTTACTTGGGGTGCGTTTTCAATTTGTCTCTGCTCTGGAGTATTAATGGAGCCTCATAAACATAAATCTATACATATATCCATCGATCTGTCTTTCTGTTTGTCTAACTATCCATCTGTCTGTCAGTCCATCTAAATTATTTAAGGAAAAAAAAAATATTTTGAATAATATGATAAATAATTTGAACATTAAACAATAACATAAAATAATATTTTTTTTTAATAATGTTTGAATAATAGAATAGAAAGATACTTTATTTATCCCTCAAGGAAAGTTAATCAACTAATAAAAACAAAAATAACAACTATAATGACAATCATTTATTTTAATTGAGTTTACTCTACTTTAATTTAACTATTTTAGTTTAAAGATAAGAAATCACAACGTAAAAGCCAAACAAAGGTGGTTCAATAGCAGTAAAATATCATAAATAAATAAAAATCTAAACAAAATCCAGAACAGAAATGTCAGTAAATAAAAGAACTATCAGTTCACTCTAGAACTATTTTAAAAGAGTTTTATGACATCAAGTGGCATAAAAAATATGTGAAGAAAACATGTTTCTTAAGCAGCAACTATTGTGGAGGAAAAGTTTTTTGGACTAAAATAACCTGTCTCAGAGCAGAGTCAGACTTACTGAATGTTTAATTGTTTAATAGAGTGGGTTTACCTTCTGGGGGGCATTAATGACTCCTAGACTGTATCCGAACTGCAGGGAACCCAGAGCTGCTGTGAACACAGCCACAACCAGTGTCCCCGTTATCTGCTGCACAAAGAAAATGACACAATTATGACTTCAAAACTCTCTCTCTCTGTCTATACCAGCAATAACAAAGCTATTCTATTTAACAAAAATAACAACAACAAAAAAAAGAATGATGAAGGGAAAAATAACATTTACTTGTTTTTAAATGATTACTGACTCATCAAACATTAGGTTTATTTCTAGCAACTAGTGAACATGAACATTTCTCAAATAGTTCGTACCTTTCCTGTTTCCATGATGGGTCCAGAGTATCAGCAGGAGACTGGTAATGATCGGTGGAAGATCACACAGTGTCCACTCACTAATCGACTAACGCGTGCACGCACACACGCACGCACGCACACACACACCTCCACCTCTTACACATAGCCAAAGCAGCAACTCATCCTGCATTAACATCAAGGAATAAAGCAGCTGTGGTTACTGTAACTAAAACATTATAGAAAATGATATACAACATGATAGATTTTATATTGGTGCTAAAAGTTTTATTGGTAGTGAAAGTAATTTTTAATTGGTAGTAGTAAACTCACTTTTTTAATTTTACAAATACCCACTGCAGTTAATTTCCCCTGCTTGTTTTGCACAAGTGTGCATGTTAATAATATACTCGGGTGGACAAAGTCTGAGGAGATACAGATGTGCACACGCTTGCAAAAAAAAGAAAAAAAAGAAAAAGGGAGGGGTGGGTGGGGTGGGGGGGATCAAGCATTTTTTTATGCCAAACTCATTTCTTTCTTTCTTACAACATTTTCTTTTACAAAATAAAACAAAGAAATCCAAAGAGAGGACATTGGTACCGCTCTTTGTAAATAAAGAAGACAAATAAAACAAAATGGAGTTACAGTAGTTTCCATTTTTATTTGTTTATTTTTTAAAGGAGATATATCTGTGTGAACAGACAAACAGTAAAAATGTTCACACTGATTCTCACTCTGGGAAGACAACGGTTTATTTAGCTTATGGCTAAATTATTAGTCTGTTCCGATCAATAAACCTTATCTTTACACAGGAACAACTACATCCTGATGCATGCTCAATAATCCAGGTAGAAAAATCCAAAAAAGTTCAATCTGGTCCTCTGAACATTCAAAAAAACAAAAAACAAAACAAAGCAAAAAAATATAGAAACGTTTTGTCTCTCATCCGAGAGACTTCCTCAGTCTGAGGTGCTGTTTTCAGCTCAGTCTCTTAAATAGCACCTTCTCAGAGTGGATCAACCAGTTTGCTGCTGACAACCAAAACCAGCTGATCACATGCTCAAGAAGGAC